AAATACCTTTTTATTTTTAGAATATCTTGTCATAACTGTATAAAGTTAAGTATATAAGAAATCTGTATATATTTTGTAAACATTCTGCCTAGACTAATTGACATCGACCGTGTTAAGCTGATTTTAAAATTAAAGATGGATTTGGTCAGGGTTAGATAAGGATTTATTGCAGTTTACAAATTTATATATCTTTGATCAAATTTATAGATCACAGCTTGCCTGTATCTGATTTTTACTAGTTGTATAATTGTAAAGTGTTTTTTGGCTAAAGCATCATTATAAATATATTATTTTTATAATATTTGTCAGCTATATCTAAAATTTTTGTACAATTGCACAATTTGATGACAATTAGGTGATTGTATAGGTAGGCTACAATCTACAAATTTGATTATTGCGGTTTGTAAAATTATATGAAATTTGAAAAAAAAAGTAATTACGATTTCTGATTACTGATTTCTGATTTCTTCATTTTTTTGACTTTTAGATTAGAGAAAATTTGTGCAGTTATTATTTTGTAAAATTTTATTATTTTTATAGAAATAAAAGTTGTATACTTATTATTTTGTAATATATTTGCAGAAATAGAAGTTGTGAATTAAAATATTTAATCAAATTTTTACAAATAATAAATGCACAAATTTTGTCAAGTCTAAAAGTTAAAAAAAATGTTAAAGAAATCTGAAATCAGTGATTACTTATTTTTTAATGATTTTTAAATTTCATATAATTTTACGACCTGCAATAAAGATACATCAATTTGCAAATTGCGATAAAGCAATGTTATACAAAAAGGTTTTTTTTTATACTAATTTTTTTATAAAATACAAATAGATTTTATAATAAGCTGATTGCATAGTTCATAATGTTTTAGATTACAATAAAAATGAGTCAAAAACAATTTTTTTATTAAATTTTATTAAATACAAAATTGATTATTATATATTTTATTCTTTAGGTATTATAGATATTAGCTGCTCCTCTTCAAGTTTTTGTTCTTTTAATCTTTTACAATTTTTAATTCTCTGAAACTTTTTAAAACTAAAGGTCTTAAAAAAAAGGTTAATAAGAGCATAAACCCAAAACACTGTAACAAATAAAAAATTAGCAGCAAACTCTTTATTTCTAATGTATATTACAGCCTTTATAAGGGTGAGTCACTGACTCTTATGCATGGTAATAGTCCAGGCAAGACAAACAGGGATCTGTGTTCGTGAACACAATACACCAGGTTTATTTTCCTAAGTGCATTGTATAGATATGATTGGAATAACTTTTATACTATTTGAAGTCTTAATAGTAGATTCTTTGTAATTATCAAATGCAATAAAGACAGCAACAGAAAGAAATAGTGGTCTATTGTCTTCATATAAAATGTTATAAATAGTTCTCATTGATCTGTTTACTTATTCAGCTTCTGTTTACAAGTTTATCATTAACATAACATGTGCTTCCTTGGCTAATAAAAGTTGAGCTTCAAAACCTTTTGCAACATTAGAGTCTGCTATTTTGGCATTATAGCCACTATTTGTGTAGCAAGAATTTTGGCAACAGTGCAATTTAGAGATCTAAGCTTCTCTAAATTAATTGTATCGACATCTGCCATTTTGGTAAAATGAACATAGCACTTGAAAATTGATCATATATACTTCTGTTATGTTTTTCTTCAATATATGTAGTAAGCATTCTCCAATCTTTAAGAGTAGACTCACCATTATGCAATCTTAAAAGAATATCTCTAAAGATTTGTTGCTCTATAGAATCTCCAGATTGTCGCTGAATAACGTCAAGTTTATGTTTCCTGAAAATTACTATAGGCTACAATACCTCTATTAGATAATGGATCTCGTGAAATATTAACAGTATACATGGGAAAGTCAAGTACAGATGGAAGCTGTCCAAAATTACTGAAAAAAATAATAAATCAACCACCGAATGGAATATCTTTGTGTTTTGAAAAAGCTTGTTTCAATTTCATGTCAATCAAATTAAACATTTAATGCCCGATCATACTTTTCTCATCAAAAACTCAATATTTCACATTTTGTAGCTTTGTTTGCAACCTTTTTAACTATTCACTATTTATATCCAAATTATTACTACTTTGTATTGGAATACAAAGTGTTGAGTGAATAGTCACACTATTAATATTATATACTGTGACTCCAGTTGGTGCAAGCACAAGTATAGCAGATGAAAACTTTTTTTTGGCTCTCATTTAACATTTCATAATCCACGGTATCTATAACTATATTCAAGTTTCTTTCTATCTGAGAACTACTAGAAGCATGTCTTAATAAGGTATTAATATTCTTAATATCAATGCTCAAATAGTGTTGTTTAGCATCATTAATCCAATCAAAATTAAGATCTATATCAAAAGATCCTAATTCAGAGAAGCGATTAATTATTGCATTTGGACCCATTTCTGCTAGATGCATCCAATCAAGTTAAAATTCTTCTTCCTTGTCTTTAATTTCTATACCCGAATCATCATTATCAGCATTCGCATTTTCTACTTTGTCTATCGGAGGAACAAGTAAATCTATTAGATCCACATTAATCTCTTCAAGATGCTGGCTATATAAAGTTGACCACTGTATAGCACCATCTTTAGTTAATTGTTGAATATTTCGATGCTTAATATGAAGGATAACTTTAACATGACAAAACTCTTCCTATTAAGAGCTATAATATTGGGATGATAAATATAGCCATATCCGTATAACATTTTCTTTTATATATTTTTTCTAGCAACTATTTATATATTTATGTATTAAATAAATATGAAGCAATGAAAAGTCTTTGAACTCTAATAGCCAATTCCAATATACTTTCAAAGATAATAGTGATGTTGTTTCTGCATTTCTAACAAGCACAAATTTACTCTCTTCATTTCTACCAGTGTCATAAAGCCATCATAGTGTTTTTTTGTTTAAATTTAAAAAGATAAATAACTAACTCGAGTGATAAAGTGGGATACCAAGAAGATGATGACAAGTCTCCTGTACTGAAATATCACATTCTGCAACACTATATATCAACAGTCTTTGGGTCATTAGAAGTACTGAATCATCAGATCTACTTTTGGATATAATCTTATTTAATATTTCAGAAAATGTAGCAGAATGTGGTTCTGCCTTACTTGCATATTTATAAATATATTGCAAAGCCATATGAATACTTAAAATTAGTTTAATACAGTATCTACATTCACTCTCCAGTCCTGTAATTGAATTCAACTATATAGATTAATATACAGATCATTTCTTGCTATCACAAGTTCTGGTTTTCTACAACCATCTTCTTGCAAAAATGTGTGATCACTGTTAACTAAATCTGCAGAATTGTTGACCGGCTCTATTGACATGAAAACAAGATGAGGGACTACATCAAGTATGTCTTTATAACTTATTGATTAAATTGATATAATCCTGTAAGTCATCATGTATTTCATTATAATACTTTTGACAGGGATAATAGTCAGGTATTGGTATGTTGAGTTCTAAATTGATAGTAGTTATTAATGAATTAAGGTATTATATTACTTTATTCATTGTATATTCATCTTCTTTCATTTTTTTCTACTCAATTACAGATGTGTTTCGTTTTTTTCTAATATTATGCACATAAACATTACTACGATGCTGCCACTCAAAATAATACCACTAGTTTTCTAAATCCTATCATTTTTTTAACACATCATTGAAAAAAATTTCAAATCATTTGTTGAAAAACCAGACAGCAATATGAGAATTGTTAATAATATTTTGACAACAACGATTTAAAGACCTGGCTTTCACAGAATTTTCTATAGATTGTATAAGATCATGGAGTTTAGGTCAGTACAAATCGGCAATGCTAAAAGTAAAAAATATTAAACCTTGTGACCTTAATTGTCTTATTATATCTGATAGCTTGCAGCACCATGCTATCCAGTATTAACAAGTTCCATATAGGCCTTTTCTGAATTGTATGATTCGATCTGCTATATGCACGTCATCTTCAGAAATCATGTTTCTAATGTCTGTAATGATAAGCTGATCATCGTTTAAACTCTGTCTAATGTAAACTCTTCCTTCTTGTAATGCTTTCCATCTCATCTGAGAATTTAATGCAAAATATCATCAATGAGTGTGACACACAAATCTACCATCTTTATATTATAGCAGATGCTTAAAATATTTTGCTAGCATAACATCTTTAACACATTTTATATAAAAATCAGCCTGATCAGTTGGATATAAAGTTGGAAATACGCAAGAGATATATCCTGGAGTTTTAAATTCATTAATGGAGATGCTATCAATATGCAGCCATGCTATGAAAGAATTTTCTAATTTATACACCAAGTGTATTGTTAATAGTAACATCTTTGTGACTAGTTAATGGAAGAAATGGTACAAAAGAATGAATAACGTTATAATCGTTTTTATTCTCATTATGTGGTTCATTTATAGTTTAGCTTGTTTGAAGTTGTAGAAGCTGACTGTCAATATAACCTTCTTTAGGCAAAGATTCAAGAACCTCATTGTCAATGACAATATTGTATAATAATGATTATTTGTCTTTAATCAGTTTAATGCATTTGTAATATTATGATGAACTATAAAGTCTCTAAATGCAATAGGATTATTTGCAGACTGGCAACACACTATAAAGATGTTTAAAGACAATAGATTTTGAGGAAGGTGTATAGTAAACTCTTGTACGTCTTGAAAAAAATTGATAACATTGCCTCTGTATCATTGTTGTCCTCTGCAAAGACTATATACTGACATTATAGTAAATACTTGTACTATTAACATTTCTTTTATTTCTGTTAAACCCTGAAGCTCACTAGATATTTTACTTGGGTCCATATCATTTGCAGCTGAAAATTTTTTTGAATAATTTTTTTCAGTATTGTAATAGTAACATATTCGAGTAATGAGTACTATAGATGGGAAATATTTATTGCATATAGTGCAAAGAATATAATTAAGTTTATTTATTTTATTTCAAAATTTTTGTAAAAGTTTATGATCTAATTCACTAATAGTTGTTGCTGATAACAGTTCCACATTTATTTCTGTAATATTATCTTCAACTTGAAGTATAGAAGCGACATTCTTTCCACTTTGAGCTTCTTTATTCGAGATATAGTAGCTAATGTTTCTATATTGCTCTGATCAATTTGATATGATTTTATATTTACTGCAACTATAGGTCATTCTAAATCTTGCTGCAAAAGAGTAGTTTTCTTCGCTCTTTAGCACTTTTACTCTTAATCACGTGCAAGTCATTCCTTACATTCTTCAGCAGTTTCTGTTACTCTATTTTTAAATTTTCTGTTTTGATTGGCTGAAAAATGTTTTTTGCGCTTTTCAGATGATTCCTCTGCTCTATTTCTATGCTGTTTAAGTGTATTACTATAATAAATTATTTATTTTAATCTTAATTAGTTTTGCAAATTTGTTAACTTATTGTTACTAATTTGTAAACTATAAACATACACTGTTATCATTGTTGGAAGAGCAAACACGACAAATATACTGATGAAAAAGGGTTATGTTAATGATATAAATAGTAAGAATTTATATAATATTTATATGTTTGTAGAAGGTTGCTTTTGAAAGTATGGTCTAAAAAAATCTGCTTTTACTGAGGTCAAAATTTATTGCTTAAATACATATTTAATGATTTAAATTTGACTTATTACTTATTATTATACAATGCAATTTTAGATGCTTTTTGTGTTGATTTTGTGGCTTTAAATTTATGCTTGACTTAATAAAAAGTTCTTCAGACTCTATCTTTGACATATACTGGCTAAGTAATTTGCAATTACTAAAAATATGACAATACTAATATACTTCTCGCATTATTTCAGTTTGTTTTAACTATATGGTTGACTTATTTGAATATAGCTCAGATTTTCGAAACTGCTGATTAAGTAAAATAGTTTCCATTTTAATAATCATTTAAGTGTCCTGTATTCAATTCAATTATTTTAGTAATTCTATTATCAAACTTAGTCTTTAGCACATTGGCAAAACAATCAATATTTATATATATAATAGTAGTTTTTTAGATACAGAATACAATAATGCAAAATTGAAAGATAAGATTAATTTTTTAAATTGATTAGATTTTATTACATTGTGTTATTTAATAATGACACTATTCATACGTCACGAACATTCTACTATATATGTCTTTTTATATTAATAATAGGTCAATTTTAATACAATTGATTTAGTTTATAAATGAGTGTCGTTAAAAGAAAACCCGAAAATTTAAATATAACATATTTAAATTTTCAAGTTTTTTTTAGTGACACTCAAATCCTATTTATGTATATTATTACATGCTGCATTATTTAATTGCTTCGATAATATTCAAAATAAGAGCATATTTTAATAAGCATAGTCTGACGTTCGTATAAATAGCTGATATAAATTAATTGTCTGAGTAACATATTTATATATATTTGAGAACACAATGTTTAACTAATAAAAATCAGCACAAAAAGCTATTTCTATTTTTAAATTTACTATACAATAGGATCTTAAAGATCTTACTTCTTACAAGCTTTGTGTAAAAGACAAATATAGTAATTGTAGTTGATTTGGAATTAGCAATAAAGACGACTTAGCCAACTAAGTCAATTTTTAGAAAACTTATCAATCCTTGATTGCATATATATAGAATGTCAAAAAATTTAAGAAAACTAGACTTTATAATACAGGTTACCTTCATTAATATCAACCTATTTGAATTGGTTTTAAATCATATTGATAGTGATATTAATGAGAAATTATATTAAAGTTGATATATATGAGAGAATTTTAATATATAAAAATTTATAAAAATTTAGTTTGTTGCTTAAGTTGATATTAACAAGATTGATATTAATGGAGGTAACCTATAGTAAGTTGATGAGAAAATCATATATATAATGTCAACTTTGCTTAGTCAACAAGTTTAGATCGATTACAAACACTACTGGCAGTATATTACCGAATCAAAGCTTAAGTTTACTATTAAAACATGATAACCTTCAAATTTTTAGACCAGAATCGAGGGGATAACTTTTATTCAGGAATAGCCTTTATTCGATAACATAATTCGTAATTTTAAAAATAATTTATTTAAAATTTTAGTAATTAGAACGTTCACTTTTAACTTAGTCAGTTAAACTGATTTTTAAATATTGATTTAGCCATATTAATAAATTAGAATCGGCTATCAATACTAACAAAATTAGAGATTGTACCTGGGGTAGACATTTTTATTATATGATATAATAAATTACCTGGATACCGGGTAATTTAATAATATCTGAGTAGAAATTTTCTTGATGGGTACAATCTCTATAACAAATATCACAATCATTACTGAACTATACGAAACTATACTGTAAAGATTCTGAAAATAATTTTATTTAATGCTATATATTTTATTATATTATATTTTAATAAACCAATTCTTGCTATATAATTTGAATAGACACTGTTTTTTTATAATAAAAGATTTAAATTTATTTAAATTTGATTTGTTGTGTTAATTATAAAGTATTGATCTTATATCTCAATTTCTTAATAAGTTTTGGTTTATAATTAATAAAGATCATACTTATCCGTACATATCTATCTGCTTTTTAAAATTACAAAAAAATTTAAAATTGATTACAGTCAACTACCGATATAACGGACATTCTAGTTTAATAGGCTTTTAATTAAAAAAAATTAATGTATTTTTTTTTTTTTTTTTTTTTTCCACTTAGGCAAGATCGCGCCAGTGACACTGTTTATTAAAAGCCATCATCTCATGGAAAATGCTAAAACAATAAAACTTAAGTCCTGACATCCTACGGCTACTACGCCTTCGAGTGCCCATAGGCAACCTGCCGCACCGACACGATATATAAAATATATCCTAACCGGAGGGCTCATCCGACCACCGCCCTACAATAGGATATCACCAATCTGATGACATCTTCTCATAGAGAAGTGAAAGAAAAAAAAATTTTTTTTAAAAAACACAGAGGTATAGGGGAATACAGTAAAAAAATACAAACAAGAAAAGAATGAGGTAAGGGAAAAACGAAGAAAAACTAAAAAATTAATGTAATATATAAACTTTTTTGCCAACCTACTAATTTTATTGTTAAATCACTAACTTATACACATTAAACTTAATATAATGTTTTAGCTTGTAATTAATTAGAGTATAGTTTTATAATTCTAATTTGCTAATAGTTATTAAATATTTGATTTAAGTAAGATCTATTATAAAATTTTAGTATTTGTTAATTTTATTATAAAAAATGTGATATTGGAGGTGATAGCAACTAAATTTTTTTAGTTATATTTAGAGCTAAAATATATTATAGTATATAATAAAATTTAGCCAGAATCATTTTTGCTAAAATATTAAAGTTAGTTTTATAGATATAATTTTGAGCTATTTTGATTTAAAATTTTAAAAAATTTAAATTATCAATCTGATTAGTTGGATAATAATTACCAATAACAAATAGATTTATCTATTTTATTATTAATAGTTAATTATAATTAATTTTATAGTTATAATTAGTTATATATTTTAATAACCAAAATAAATTTATTATTTTAAATATTATTTAATTTAATTAGTTAAAATAGGGTGTGGCAACTTAGTGAAGTTGGTAAGTTGTCACCCTCCAAATGGCAGATCTAGAGTTTAAATCCCACTGGCGACGATTTTGAAAAATAAGATTTGTTTCGGTAATATTTATTCGACAATCGGTTGGGTGTACTACCTGTAACCTTGGTACCACCATCTTGAATAGGAGCTTTCAAGCAAAGTTGTGTGATATCACACAGACAAAGCCGAGGAACTGGAATAATTGAACCCATTTGGAAAGACCCGAGCAAGAAAGTAGTAAAAATCTTTGCAATATTGCAGAAGCCAGAAGCCCAGAAACCGGAGACTGAAGAACTAGACGAATAACCCTGGGGCAAAAAGGGTTCACCAACCTGGCCGCCGGAGTCGCACCGGAGGAAAAGGTCCTATGCTGCAGAATTAGGAACCAAAGGAAGGGAACCATCGGACACTTAAAGTCTAAGTATACCAATCTATTCAGGCTAACTGGTTTGGAAGTTTGGGAGAGATCGGTATAAGGACCAGAAGGAAGGTAGATATAGGTATCAGGATTGGAATGAACCTTGTAAAGGCAGGGGAACCAGGAATTGTGCGGTTTAATGGTTAGTCCTGACCGTTAGTGTTGGTCTTGGCTATAGCAGACAGGTTCTCTGAACCTAATTTGGAAATGTGTAGGACATAGAAAAATTAGGGAGGCAGCTACTATGCCTACCTGTGATAACCCTAGGGAAAACAGCGGGGTAACCAAACTCAGGTAAGTGAGTAGAGGGCACTTTGGTATAAAGGTACCTGGCTTAGAATAATTGGTGGGTATGTACAATCAGAGGGTTTAAATAGATAATCCCCTAGTCAGATTATAGGCATGGCATCTAGTGTAGAACCTTCGGGTGAACTACTTAAATAGGCAACCAAAAGTTGTACGTGTGGCTAGTTGTACTTTCGTTGTAATACTAAATGTAAGACCCACGTGGTCAATAGTTAAACATCAATAAAGCTCGGTCTCGAAGGACACCTTAAAAAAAAAAAAAAAAAAAAAAAAATTAGTTAAAATAATAATATTTAAATTTATTATTAATAAATAAAAATTTTGCTTTAGACTTACATCAGTTCCTGGTTCTTAGTATATTATAATATTCATAATTATTACAAATAAAAATAATACAAATAAAAACTAAAGTAAAATTAATAAACCTATTAAAAAATATTAAAAAAACTTTAAAATATTAAACGATCTATAGAAAATCATTAATAAACTGTCACAAAATTATGACGAATACAGGATGTAGGTGAGATTTTCTGAATCACATGATCAATCGATTTCCAGTCTAGGTCGGAATCACATGATTGCGCCTGTTAGGTATATCCATAACGTACGTACGTACTGTATATTGTATGTGCTTCTTGTTTTTCTTTATTATCTTTGCCTTTTCTTTCTTTTTCTTGTTTCCTTTTTCTTTTTTTTTATTTTCTTTTTGCTTTTTTTTTCTTTAGTTGTTTCCACTTTATTTTCTTTCATTCGTCGTGTTTTTATTTTTATTTTTTTTTCTTTTTTTTCTTTAATTTTTTTTCTTTGTGATTTTTCTTTTCTTTTTTTTTATTTTTTTATTTTATTTTATTTTTTTTATTAGTTTATCTATTTATTAGCAATTACTATTTTTTTTCTACAAGCCTTTTTTTTTTTTGAAACCGGAATCGGTATGGAGATTGATAAGTTGGTACTTTTTTTTGTTGCATTTTTGTGTTTTTTCTTTTGTTACACTTTTTTGTTCTTATTGCTTTTGGTACTAATGCTTTTTTTTTTTCCTACAGATCTTTTTGAACTCAAGCTTGGTTTGGTTAGTATTGGCATAGGTATAACAAGTCGAGATGTAATTTTTT